AGTCCAACAAGGACTCCGAGTGGTCTATCATATTTCCGCAGCATTGGAAAGCAAGCAATATTGCTCGGGTGCATTTCTGGACATAGCTCAAGCTTTCGACCGGGTATGGCACGCCGGGCTTCTTTCCAAGCTGAAAACCCATCTTCCTCAGTCCTTATACCTTGTCCTCCGTTCCTACCTCTCAGATCATACCTTACGAGTTCGCTGCAGTAGTGAATTATCGAATTGCTATCCAATTGAGGCAGGTCTTCCTCAAGGTAGCGTATTGGGTCCCGTCCTTTACATCCTCTTTACCGCCGATATCCCATACCTTCCAGGCAACTTTTGCTGATTACACCGCCATTCTATCATCCGACTCAGATCCTGATATAGCATCCTTAAACTTTCAAAGACACCTCTCCCTGATTGAGCACTGGTGTAATAAATGGCGTATTAAAGTAAACGAATCCAAATGCCAACACATCTCCTTCACGCTCCGACGCAGTTCCTGTCCACCAGTACACTTTAATTCCATTCAGCTTCCTTTCTCAGACACAGTCCGGTACCTTGGCTTTCTCTTAGACAGACGACTAACGTGGAACCCTCATACTAGACTTAAAAGACAGGAACTAAACCGACGATACGGACAACTATACCGGCTACTAAACAGAAAATCTAAACTTTCCATTGAAAACAAGTTACTGATCTACAAGACAATACTGAAACCTATCTGGACTTACGGACTTGAACTATGGGGAACAGTAAAATTTACTAACATCAAACGCAGCCAATCCTTCCAATCCAAAGTCCTTCGAACAATAGTCAATGCTCCTTTCTATGTAACCTACAAAACCCTACACCATGACCTTAATATCCCATTTGTCCTACACCTTATCCTAGCAAAATTCTCCAAATTCCACCAGAACCTTACCCATCATCCAAATCCCTTTGCACCATCTCTATCCAGCACCACCCATCCATATAATCCTCCAAGGAGGTTAAAACGGCAGTGGCCCCGCGATCTTTTATAGTTTGTAAATATTGGAGTTCTGGCAATGGCCAGATTCTCCACTCACGACATGGGTGTATGTGGCTAAAGCACTCTTGCTCAATCTCCACTGGGCTTAGCCCTAGTGACGCGGTTGAGAGAGGAGTGCAGGAAACTCCTGGAGTCTTACTTTTCCCTCCACAGTTGGAAGGACAAGTCTAGTTTGGAGTTCTCTCGCCAAATTGTAAATATTGTATATAGGTGTGTATGTGTTCTTTTTATTTATTTATTTTTAGGTTATTTTATTCTTATTTATTGTATATATATTATTTTCTGTATAATTTATTTTATTTATTGTTCATAGAGTGTGGCTGTGATCTGTGAACTCTATTATAAAAGTCCTAGGGACAGATTGTAATATTTTTCAATAAATAAGTTTAAAAAAAAAAAAAATTTATATATATATATACATATATATATATATATATACTAAGTACGGACAATGGTCGTGAATATGTGAATTTTATTTATTTTTTTTAATTTACCGAACTGTGGTATTAATGACCAAAAGACCATAATTTAATTAGACCCGTGCGAGGTACCCCTTTAATATATTGCCTTAAATTATATTACTTAACTAATGTTGACCACGTAAGGGGCCCCTTAGAATTTGGCGACAGGAGCGTCCACTAAGGGCTACATTGATATCAATTATATTGAAAAATTGGTTTATATAATTTTTTTTTCATTGATTCTATTTTAATGTAATTGAATTTTTAATATAAATGCAATTTAATATAATTGCACATATAAGGGCTAAATTGAGCAATATTAAATCGGATATGCCAATCTAGGACCCTGACAGACCTTGGACGATACGATATTTCGGGACCCCTCTTGCCTAAAGTTGGGGGACTGTGTGTGTGTAGGGGGAGATCAACCCATATAGGTGGAGATAAGTAAACATTTTTACCATTGTAAATTGCTACCTCTATGTCATTATTCTTATTATCGAAATCGTATTTGATTTCACAACTAATGACAGTGTTTAAAGGTAGATGTTAAAATGACAGACGTTTACCAAGGTAGCCATAATTTTAATTACAAGTTAGTTACTCTTATAGTTTGTTAAGTTGCCTTTGCAAGTTCTCTATCTCGTAAAATGTCTTTTTTAATCTATCTGCCACTAATCTCCCTCCCCTGTTTAGTATCCATTACTTTCAGTCTATGTTTACCAAAGGCAATTTTTTTTTTTTCATAATCGGGACTTAATTAAATAATAACAATTTGTCGTGTTCCGATTTAATAAAATTTCACTATTAATTAGATATGTCAATATAGATCTTTAAATACTTTACATTCCTTAACACTTACACACATCATACTAAATACTTGAGCACATCATTGTAAGATAGATCAAGTTATTCATTTTTCTGTTATATAAAACATTGACTAACATTCTAAAAATTAAAATAATGGACAGAATAACAATCAAGATGATACTGCAGATTACATTAAGCTTCATCTCGCATAAAATTCAGTTAAATAAAAACTCGTTACTAATTCACACGAGTTCCACACTGATTATGCCTTGTTTATAATCATATTGATCACACTTATTCATTGAGTGCAGAATGTGTTCATGTTTATCCAAAAGAAAACGAAGGCGACTGATCTCTTGAGTCGGTTACTATTAACTTTTCTGCCATTTAAGTACTTCTATATCCTTATCCATACAGCAGGAGCTGCTTGTAATCAAAATTTTGGCCACTTCATGAAACCTTAATCGAACTTGTACATATATTATACAGCTGTGGAAAAGAAATAGTAATAGATAAAAACGTTTAATTATATCTCTGAATGAATGCTATTTCACGATATTTATATTTCTCATTGATGATTTCCATTATTCATTATCTCAGAATTATTAGGTATTCTTTGTCAGTTGTTTCCCCAATACGTTAATTCGTTCCTCAAAAATAAACATCCAATGAAACACAATGTTTTTTTTTACGAATGACTACAATCGGTCCCCATTTTTGGATTATTAAGCATATTAACTACGAATAACAATAATTATGCAGATAATTCATTCAATAAAATAATAGCAATAAAATTGAGAAAATAAGTTATAAGTTAAGGTTATAGTTTAACTAAGTGGTAGATCTACAGGCCCCATTGGGGTTGGACATTACTTGATTAAATATTTATCTAGATAGATTAATAGATACAATTTATCTGTTATTCGATGGGTTTTTACAGATGTTTTCTTAGGTTATTCATTAGTTACAGATATTTAGAATCATTATCCATTACTCGTTTATCACCACAAAAAATTCATTTGAATAACTTTTTAAATTAAATTAAATTATTCCAATTTTTATTAAAAAACTTTAATAAGAAATAAAAAGATAATAGATAACTTCAGATTATTTTTTGTACTGTGATATAAAAAACACAGTTATAAAAGATAATATACAATAGTATAATTACCTAATTACAGCAACTGCATGTAAGCACGTATCTATAAAAATTATATTCCTAAAAGCATTTTTTTTAACAAGCCTTGCAACGACTCTAACATCATTTTATATATTTTATTTATTTTTCTTCCAGAGTAATTACTGTTATAATAAAAATTAATAATTAACAAATTAGTAAATACATTATTTGTATATAAATTGTTAATAAGAAAGTTCTATAATGGGAATACGCGGGTTTTTCAAAAATGCATGAAAAAGGATTGTGTGGTGGGAGCAATAGTTGACGTCTTAACATATGGCTATATTTGGTTGTTTTCGTTATTCCATGAACAAATGTGACTGAAGTGATTGTGAACACATAATCCATGCAGAACTCATGTGAACTAGCACCAAAAACTCCATAACATTGTAAACATCAATTCTGTTTAAAGCAAGGAATGTTTCTGCTTATTAATGGTTGAAAATAGTTAACCATTTTTATTAAGGAATTGTGGTTGGAAACTCAATGCAGACATGCATGTATCCAATGTTGTTTCCACATTCGCAACCCTTGTGGAATGTTGTTCCACTTTGGTGGATAGGCCAAGATCTCATGATCACACTATAAATGGAATTCAGAGAATGGTTGATTATGTTCAATGTGTACATTTTATAACCTTTATTTAGATCTCAACCTCACAACCTTCTTTTTAGTTAAAATCAGGAACTTAACTAACTTTAATTATATCGCTTAGACTTCCACTCCCAATGCTTGTTGAAAAGGGATAAACAAACCCCCAAGGTTGGGAAATTACCAGATGATTCTGTCACTTGTGGTTACTTTTGGATACAATCCACACAATACAACCATTCTTGGTATTCCATTCATGTTGTGATTATGAGATCTTGTGCCACGCATGAAGGTGGACCAACATTGTTGTACCTAAGTAGATAAATCCTTAATATGAATTTAAATTAAAAAAAAAAAAAAGAATCTTGAAAGAAAACTTTTTATTGACTGTGCTTCTATTTTTTTATATCAGTACCTACCCACACATCCTTGTGAGACTTAGTAGTACTGGATCCTAACACATTTAGCCTTTTTTTTGAAGCATCTGAAAAATTCCTGGTGGAACCACAGACAACTAGTGCTAATCTTTGACATAAATTAATTTGGCTTATCCTATTGATTGTAAGGTACGATTTCACAAGTAACTTCAACATGATTGTTGGATACATGATCACACTGTTTATGGAATTTCGAAAAGGTGAGAAGGGAAGAGGTATATTTTCTGACGATCAGTAAAGGAAGTTTATATAAGTACTGTAATGATAATAGAATTCGGCTGATAAGCTTTGCCATCTTGAAAAATCTGATAATTTGAAGTATTACGTTTAAACATAAGGATACTTATTCATAAATATACTTGGCCATTACTGAACTCGCAAACGCGAAATCAAATTGATCATGTTTTGACCCAAAAGAAATTAGTATATAAAGTAATTTGTCTTTGTTGTTTATTTCCTCATAACATTTTAGAAGCAGAAAGAATAATTCATTTACTTATTATAGACCTGGAGCCAGGGCCGAAAATTCGACTCATCGCAGGTGAAGGTTTGATTGTAAATTACGAAAGAGTATGTTATTCTGAGTAAAAAGAATCTTGTCTGCCATTCCAGAGCCGCTGCTTTAAAAAATGTTGGTTGATTTAAAGAATATTAGGCCAGTAATTTGAGAATCGAAAAGCATTATACAATATACAATCCATTGCGAAAATGTGAGAAAAGTTTTTATTTTTTTAACTTGTTTATATGTGTTTAGACATGTAAAAAACAAAATTTCTAACGTGGGCGACATAGGGAAAACTTTTTACAGCCCAAAAAAGTCAGATTTTTTTGATATTTTTTGTTTTTTCACCTGTAACTCCTAAATGATGCATCAAAGTGAAAAATTTATTCTTTAATAAAATAAAGAATGGTAAATTTTGTGTCAAACGAGTACATAAACTTTATATTTTAGTTACGTTGTAACTTATAAAACTATGACCAACCAACGCTGGTACTGGTACTGGTGTAGGTGAAGGGAACTAACCTGGCAAATGGGCCTATAGTGGTTCTTTTTGCCAACCCCTGACAGCTACCTTTGAGGTTACCGCCGCGTACTTGCCAGAGTGGGAGTGTCACGATTCATTTCCCGGGGCTGCGGAGAAATGAAAAGTAACCGACCCAGGTAGGAATCGAACACACAATGTTCATAATCAGGCACTCTGGGACCCACGCCCCAACATGCTCGGCCATCCTGTCTTCAATTTGTGTACTTAATTCTCCAGCATACCTGTTGGAAGGTTGATGCTTATAGGTACATGGAGAACATTTTCAAGAGTCATTAAGCTCCTAATTTGGAGACAGGTTCCCTGCTTTTACTTGACAATACACAACCAAGTTTTGTACATCTAGGACGTTGGTATCCTATTCCTGGAGTAGCCATTGGAAAATCAAGACTTTAATCAGATCAAATATGCTTAGGTTCAGTTAAAGAAGTTTGAGGTACTAGAATTCTATGTCTACATTACTTAAAACTTTGGAAACAGTTATTATTTAAAAATCAGACATATTGCAGTAAAAGTTTGTCTACTGCAAGAGTTTACTAACAATTTCTTTGTGGATACTTATCATGTTTGTTAATTTTGAATTAGCTAGTTCTCATACATTACATACAGTGATTTTATTGTTTTAGGTCTTACAAGGAAAGCTCGTTCTCTTGAATCAGAAATAGATGAAAAACTCAATGATTTTAGTAAGCTTTGCAAAATGCACAAGCACCGATCAAAATACTTAAGGTATCATCTTTACATCTTTTCATCAATCATTATTTAGAATCAATTATATGTTAAGAATTATAAAACAAAACCACCCTTATATGTTCTTAAGGGGAAGTTACGGCTGTGCAGTCACCAATTTTAATGAAACCTTTTTTGGTGATGCTAGGTCAACTGCCAGGTTTTCTCATCAACCCACTGAAGCTTAAGTACCCAATTTATAGAGGTTGGTTGATATTAAAAATATATATATTCAATCAAGTCTGGGCTCAAACACGAGTCTGAGTATTATATAGCATTTCCAAGTCAATTTCAACCTTTTTCAAATCAAATTCAACCTTTTCCAAGTCAAATTAAACCTTTTCCATTTCAAATTAAACTTTTTCCAAGTCAAATTCAACCTTTTCCATTTCAAATTCAACTTTCGAATTTTTGTCAATTTTCGATTTTTTTTCGAAATGAAGGCCACTTACTATATTATCGAAGGCATAGCTTTTAAAAAATACAAAAAAAAAAATTGATTACGCAGTTGCATATCCATTTATTTTAACATTTTAGATTTTTTCAGTGTGATATTTCTATGTGATATTCAATTATTTCCAAGTCAAATTCAACCTTTTCCAAGTCAAATTCAACCTTTTCCAGATCAAATTAAACTTTTTCCAAGTCAATTCAACCATTTCCATTTCAAATTAAACCTTTTCCAATTCAAATTCAACCGTTTTCATTTCAAATTAATGTTTTAAGTTTTTGTAAATTTTATATTTTTTTTTAAATAATGGCCATCCCCTCCCCCCCTCCAATATGAAAGTCTATTATTATGCTCTCCTAAGTAGAATTTTCACTTAAGGATATCGATTTATTGTACCTATTCGGATTTCTTAGGGACTAGTATTATGCTGTCCTGTACCTAGTTTTGAAAATAACCTCCATTTTAAGATTACGTGACTGCGTTTCGAATCATTTAAGTTTTTTTGACAAATTCGATATGTGGGTGTATTTTTATGTTTCCCGATCAGTAAATTTTGAAAATGACATACATTATATGTTTACGCCACTGTGTTTTGACTTATTTAAGTTTTTAGAATTTATCCAATATAAAGGTCTACTTTTATGTTTCCGGAGCCATAGATTTTGAAAACGACCTTCATTTTAAGATTAGGCCACCGCGTTTCGACTTATTTGAGTTTTTCGGATATTTTTCATATGAGGGTGTATTTTTATGTTTCCGGAGCTGTAGATTTTGAAAATGACCTGCATTTTAAGATTAGGCCACCACGTTTCGACTTATTTGAGTTTTTCGGATTTTTTTCATATGAGGATGTATTCTTATGTTTCCGGAGCCGTAGATTTTGAAAACGACCTCCATTTTAAGATTAGGCCACCGCATTTCGATTTCTTTAAGTGTTTCGAATTTTTATCATAAAAGAGTGTATTCTTATGTTTCCGGAGTCGTAGATTTTGAAAATGACCTCTATTTTAAGATTATGCCACTGCGTTTCGGCTTATTCAAGTTTTTCGAATTTATCCAATTTAAAGGTCTACTTTTACGATGCCGGTGCCTTAGTTTTTAAAAGTACTTACATTTTAAGATTAGGCCACTGTGTTTCGGTTTTGTTAAGTGTTTTTGATTTTTCTTTCGAATAAAAAACATAATACGAAGGATTAATTTATTTTTCAACAAATAAATAAAAATATCTAATCAAAATAAATAAAACATGTATTGTCTCATTTTTAATTTAATTTTAGTTATCTTTTTTAATGTTGTGGTCTCCTATCACAAAATTATAAGATTTCGAACAATTAGCTGAAAAATCTGAATACGGAAGGTTAAATTTATTACCAGTTGCTTTTCGGCTTTTTAGTTTGTATTCTGTGGTTAATTTTACTTTAGCTTCATAATATTTATTTATTTATTCATACTCGAAAACATATTGATGAAACTTTGTATTGAAAAAATCCAAAATGAAGCGTAATTAATCAAGATGCAGCGGCTTAATCATAAAATGGAGCTTAAATATTAGATAAATTTAAATATTAAAGATTAGAAAAATTTCAATACGTCTCGGATAACATATAAGTAGATCCTTATACCGAAAAAGTAAAAAAAAAAACTTTTATAATCCAAAACAGTGGCATAAACTTTAAATTGGGTCATTTACAAAATGGGGGAAATCTACTGCTCCAGAAACATAAAATTAGACCTTTATACTTGTTAAATTCTAAAAATTTAAATAAGTTGAAACGCAGTTGCGTAATCATAAAATAGAGGTCATTTTCAGAATCTACGGTTCCGAAAACATAAAAGTAGACCTTTAAATTGGATAAATTCGAAAAACTTAAATAAGTCAAAATGCAATGGCGTCATCATTAAATGGATGTCATTTTCAAAATCTACGGCTCAAGAAACATAAAAGTAGACCTTAATATTGGATAAATTCGAAAAACTGAAATAAGTCAAAACGCAGTGGCGTAATCATAAAATGGAGGTCATTTTCAAAATCTACAGCTCCGGAAACATAAAAATACACCCTCATATGAAAAATATCCGAAAAACTCAAATAAGTCGAAACGCGGTGGCCTAATCTTAAAATGGAGGTCATTTTCAAAATCTACAGCTCCGGATACATAAAAATACACCCTCATATGAAAAATATCCGAAAACCTCAAATAAGTCGAAACGCGGTGGCCTAATCTTAAAATGGAGGTCATTTTCAAAATCTACAGCTAAATCTACATCTAAAATGGAGGTCATTTTCAAAATCTACAGCCGGATACATAAAAATACACCCTCATATGAAAAATATCCGAAAAACCTAAATAAGTCGAAACGCGGTGGCCTAATCTTAAAATGGAGGTCGTTTTCAAAATCTACGGCTCCGGAAACAAAAAAGTAGACCTTTATATTGGATAAATTCTAAAAACTTAAATAAATCAAAACACAGTGGCGTAAACATAAAATAGATGTCATTTTAAAAATTTACTGATCGGGAAACATAAAAATACACCCTTATATCGAATAAGTCAAAAAAACTTAAATAATTCGAAACGCAGTCACGTAATCTTAAAAATGAGGTTATTTTAAAAAACTACTCATACGATAACAGACCCACGCATCGAAAAATTAAAGATAATTAAATAAATAAAAAAAGGTTGAATTTGAAATGGAAAAGGTTTAATTTGAAATGGAAAAGGTTGAATTTGACTTGGAAAAAGTTTAATTTGATTTGGAAAAGGTTGAATTTGACTTGGAAAAGGTTGAAATTGACTTGGAAATGCTATATTAGTTGTCTAGTGCCATTCTCATTGAGCTTACCCATTCCATTAAACATAGGGAAACATTTGACACTTTTGGCTTGTAGTAAGTTTCTATAAAGTAATTACTACTATTATATAAAAAAGAACACTCATTTATCAAGTACACTACTGAAAGGGCTAGTGATGCTTATTGTTTTATTTTGTAATACATTACATTTTTTTTTTTTCTTCTTTACCCAGTGTGACCATATAGTTTAATGAGAATAACTTTTTTTTTTCTTTTTATTTCTTTATTGAGTATTATAACAATCTGTCTGTTGGACATTGGTTATAGTGAGGTAGGATGACATTCACACTATATGTACAAAAAAATAAAATAAATAGAACAAAATAATAATCAAAAGTATATACAATAGACAATAAAATAAAATAACCTAAAAAATAAGAAAATTAAAACTAAGAAAAAAAAAAAACACATGCATACCTATATACAATCAGGCGAGGGAACTCCAGGAGAACCCTGCACTACTCTCCCAACCGCGTCACTGGTACTAAAGCCAGCGGAGATTGGTCGAGAGCACTTTAGCCACATACACTCATGTCTTGAGTGAAGAATCTGGCCATTGCCAGAACTCCAATTTATACAATCTACAAAAGGTCGCGAGGCCACTGCCGTTTCAACCTTCTTGGAGGATTATAGGGATGGGAGATGCTTGATAGGGATTGTGCAAGAGGATTTGGGTGGTAAGTAAGGTTCTGGTGAAATTTGGAGAACTTTTCTGGGATAAGGTCTAGGACAAATGGGATGTTAAGGTCATGATGTAGGGTTTTGTTGGATACATAGAAAGGAGCATCGACTATTGTTCGAAGGACTTTAGACTGGAAGGATTGGATGCGCTTGATGTTAGAAAATTTTGCTGATCCCCACAGTTCTAGTCCGTAAGTCCAAATAGGTTTCAGTATTGTCTTGTAGATCAGTAGCTTGTTTTCAATGGAAAGTTTAGATTTTCTGCTTAGTAGTCGGTATAGTTGGCCGTATCGTCGGTTGAGTTCTTGTCTTTTGAGTCTAGTATGCGGGTTCCAAGTTAGTCTTCGGTCTAAATGAAAGCCAAGATACCGGACTGTGTCTGAGTAAGGAAGCTGGATGGAATTAAAGAGTACTGGTGGACAGGAATTGCGTCGGAGTGTAAAGGTAATATGTTGGCATTTAGATTCATTAACTTTAATGCGCCAGTTATTACACCAGTGCTCAATCAAGGTGAGGTGACTTTGGAGATTTAAGGATGCTATTTCAGGATCAGAGTTGGATGATAAGATTGCGGTGTCGTCAGCGAATGTTGCAAGAAAAGTATCGGGATGAACAGGGATGTCAGCAGTAAAGAGGATGTAAAGCACGGGACCCAAGACGCTGCCTTGGGGAACACCGGCTTTAACGGAGTAGATATTGGAAAATTCTGTTCCACAGCGAACTCGAAAGGAGCGGTCAGAGAGGTAGGATCGGAGGACTAGGTACAAGGACTGAGGTAAAAGGATTTTAAGCTTGGAGAGCAGTCCGGAGTGCCATACCCGGTCAAATGCCTGTGCAATGTCCAGAAAGGCACCCGAACAGTATTCCTTGTTTTCTAGGGCTGAGGAAATATGATCAACAACTCGGAGTCCTTATTGAACAGTAGAATGTTGAGAGCGAAAACCAAACTGATGGGAAGGGATATTTTGGGATTCTTTTTGAAAGGATTGGTAGTAGGCTAATTGGTCTATAGGAT